TAAATAGGAAATGCAAAAATGAAAAACCTAGCTAGTTTTGTTTGTGGGGCAAATGCACACAGTTGCGGATTCTGAAAGAACATAAATAACGGTTGATATATGATTTGATTATTCCGATTTTGGCAGAGACTTTGTGAAAATGGTGAACATAAGGGAAGCTCTCAATTGCATTTAGTTAAGGAAACTATTCTTTGTTTCCCCTTCAATTTGTCTAGCTATTAATGGTGATAGGGTCACTCAAGCCAGGACGTTGACGCCAGCCACCGAGCTCAATCAATCCTATCCTAGAGTCACCTTGCTGTCAGGATCAAGGTTTGACTGCTCACAATCCAGCTTAAATCCGCCTTCTCTGATACATGAGCCTGAAGCTTATCATCGTCTAATGGAACAGAAATTAGTACATGAGCAATTGCTTCAACTGCAGCAGCATGGTTCTTCATCCTTCGTATCCGACGATGGCAGATTGTATGACCACCCATCCACAGGCAAAGGGCTCATACTACCAGAACTGCTGGCTCCGTCACGTGCTGGCTCAGCATCAGCTGTTGTCTATCCGGCTTATCCGACTCTCTCCCCGTTGCTGCGAATGTCTAGAGAAGGACGGAAATTTACATCTCAAAGTTAGTGACTATAATTATAAATTAAGGTTTTATACAAGGTAATGAGATGTATTTACCCTATTTCGTTCAAAGTGATGAAGGTCTGGTAGTACAATTTTCCCACAATGATATGAGTAGAGCTGACGTTTTCATTGAATTTCACATTGCCTTGCTTTTCCAAAAGTTGTTCTCATCCAGACAGAAATGGACCGCAGTTTCGACCTCGCATCGGCCTTATCAACACCCCCAGCGGGAGTCGAACCGTGACAGTGCAGCATGTGAGCTTAACACACTGACCACTCAGCCACTTTGACACGAGTGTCCTTGGGCCACAGGGCAGATGTGAATTTCAAGAAAGGCCAGGTTTTTGTCCGTATCACATGCTATTAACAGTTCTTCATCACCTTAAACGAAATAGAGTAAATGTATCTAATATAATTGATTTACTGGTAGTCTCGAAACTCTGCTTATATGCAAAAAATAAGTCTATATCTATATATATATTTCACCACTGCCACCATACTCTTCTTGCTGTATCTCTATTTACGCTTTTATAAAGATATACATAATTTAGAGGCATTGTGCAAGATATCTTTTGTTCTCCCATAGATCCATTAATGCATTCCGTAATGGGCCGTGATGGAGTTTTGGGCGGCCTACCTTGTGAGAAGGATGACGAAGCTAATGAGGAAAATCAAACACCGAGGGAACGTCGGATAGCTCGGATTGTGATGGTTGTCGCCTTTTTTCTTTTCATGATGTGCTTCCTGTTGGTGGCCGTCAACCTCATGATGTCCGACCACATTGATCAAGCAGGTGTGTACCCTTTATAGAGTTGTACATTCAAAAAGACCCCTTTAAGCGATTTTAAAGATGATGTCTAAGTGACACGGTCCTATCTAAGCGGATGTCTTGTATTGATCTTTTTACAATGGATAGAGTACGAATGATCCGTAGCTGTTGAAGTATACAAATTTCGAATGGCCTTTTGTTATACTAAAGATGTTACTGCTCCTGTTGAAGTAACCAGAATGATTCCTTTATGCATTGGATTATCAGCATCAAAGCGATCATCTTTCTTCAATATTCATTAAAATTTCTTTGCGAATTCCTTTTGATAGCTTCTAAAAACAAATTTTAATGTGAAATAGGTATATTTTGTGGACAGGTTATAAAAGTACTTTATGAATTTAATCATAGATTCAATTTTATATCTTGGTAAACCAGAATTTTTCATCTGAGTCGGACACCAAATCCTACTTGCATGGATGCAGACCGGTGTAGGTTATTTTTTTTAACGCATGTCACTGCAATATCCTCTGCTTTCTCGGTTTGCATAATTTCGCTTCCAAGTGGAAAAAAGAATACTATGCTGGAATTAAAAAGGATCATAAGGAGTCCTCATTGGGTATAGTTACTTTCTGATCCGAACATTTCTAAATCCCATACGAAGCTTAATAGTAACAATAGCAAACAAACTACCTTTTTAAAAAAATATAATTGACTTTCTAAAATGGAATCAATTCTTTTAGTTATCCCAGTCTATTTAAAGTATCTACTACTAATGCCACCATAATCCCAGCAAAAAAAGTTATTTTAGGAATCTACAACAAAATTCTAGCCATTTAGCCTGAAGGGTCAATGGAAAACATACATACACCCAGATGTATATAAAATCTTGGTTTTCTTATACAATTAATAATCGCCTACTTGAGTAAGTCACTTTAACTATAAGACCTTAAGGGAAGATTCAAATCACATATCCAGGTTTGGAGTTGGTAGCCCCTGTCTATGTCGCATCACCAAGCGCCCTGATTTTTCGACTTGTCTCTTTTTTACCTTTCTAGTTCAAAGTCAAAGAATCATGCCCTTAGGCATAATACGAGAAGGTAACACATCCAAGGAAAACTTCGCCATCGCTATTTCTTCAGGATTGTCCTCGCCATGGGCCTCAGCACCAACTCCCACTTCAGAAGCTTCGATATACCAGGAGGTAGTTATGTCTAGATAATATGAATACTATGATTCGCAATCAACTCATGAAAAATATTCACCCCAAATGTGCTTGAAAAATGCAAATGTCTAAAAACAGCTGAGCATGGGAAATTATATGTCTCTTAATAAGTGAACAAAATGC